ATGCCCCTATATAAATCAATGGTGCGACCTCATCTGGAATACTGTGTGCAGTTCTGGGCACCACACCTTAAAAAGGATATTATAGCTTTGGAAAAAGTGCAGAAAAGGGCAACTCGAATGATAAAAGGGTTGGAACACTTTCCCTATGAGGAAAGGTTAAGGCGCTTAGGGCTCTTTAGCTTGGAGAAACGACGACTGAGGGGTGACATGATTGAGGTTTATAAGATTATGCATGGGATAGAGCAGGTAGAGAAAGAGGTACTTTTCTCCCTTTCTCACAATACAAGAACTCGTGGGCACTCCATGAAATTGCTGAGCGGTCGGGTTAGAACAGATAAAAGGAAGTACTTCTTCACCCAAAGAGTGATTAACACTTGGAATTCACTGTCACAGGAAGTGGTGACGGCTACAAGCATGGACGGCTTCAAAAGGGAATTAGATAAGCATATGGAGCAGAGGTCCATCAGTGGCTATTAGCCACAAGGTATAGATAGGGGCTCTGGGTAGGACGTCCTTCTTCACCCAAAGAGTGATTAACACTTGGAATTCACTGCCACAGGAAGTGGTGGTGGCTACAAGCATGGACGGCTTCAAAAGGGAATTAGATAAGCATATGGAGCAGAGGTCCATCAGTGGCTATTAGCCACAAGGTATAGATAGGGACTCTGGGGCAAGTGATGCTCTGTCATCTTGGTGCTTGGGGGGGTCAACAGTGGGAGGGCTTCTAATGTCCTGGCCCTACTGGTGGACCTCCTGATGGCACTGGTATTTCTGGCCACTGTGTGATACAGAGTGTTGGACTGGATGGGCCTTTGGCCTGATCCAACATTGGCATCTCTTATGTTCTTATGTTTGTGCCTTTCCTAACCTGCGGAATATTTTTTTTTTGCGCTTCTAGGATCATAGCTTTAAATAGTTTCCAAGCTTCTCCAATGGTTTTGACCCTTTCTACTTTTCCTTTCAGTTTCCTCCTTTCAGTATCATTTCAAGACAATGTAAATTCAGCATTACAACAAACTTTTCTTTCACAACTCATGAAATCGTATGTATGGGATCAGATCCTGGTAAGGGAGTGAGTGGCAGCCCATATTAAAAGTCTGTATTGGGTATATAAACAAAATGACTGGGCTGTGTGTAGATCAGATTCTGAAGGTGGCTTTTTCTTCCACTTTGGAACATGCTTAAGTTGATCATGTTCCAAAAAGGCTGGACTCTCTTCTGCATTTCACAAGGTAGCAGATGTACAAGCACACTGGTGGATGGTGGTGCTTCTTTTCTCATCTAAAAGGGTACATTTAGACGTTGCATACTACAAAACCACAGATGGTACAAAGATGGAAGAGGGAAGACTAACTCTTATCCCGTAATACAAAACGAATATCACAGCAGTGACACCTGCAGGCTTGTTTTGTGATGTCTCAACAATGCGGGCAAGAATCAAATGAATGCCTTTTGCCCCAAAATTAAAAGCAAAGATCATGCCCACAGAAATGGGGAATATACTCCAGCAAACAGCTTCTGCCACAACTGTACAGGCCAAAATGAAGCAAAGTAATCAACAAAAGAAATTAAACTGGGAATCACTTCCCTGTAACAAGAGAGAGAGGATGAAAGGATGGATTCAGGAGCCTTACCCTTACTGGCTCACCATACTGAGAAGTAAACTAAGAACGTATCTGTCTGGCTGACGTGTTTATTCTTTTATTTGTACCTTTTTGCCTTTGTGGCTTATTGAGTTCCCCTGATTAGACTGGTTCTATTTCCAACACGCATACCCCATCCTGTCATCTTGTACCTAAACAATGTTTCTCTCACTCTCTCTTTTGTTTAATTTCATCAGAAGTGACTATGTTGTTCTGAGCTCTATATACAACTCAACATGGCTCTCTCAGAAAGAGACGACGATGATTAGGCTTTCTCTTAGCCAGGCAGGACACAAAGCAGGGGTGGAGCTCTCAATCTCACTCATCCAAAACTCAAGAAACATTTTGTGGCACTCTGGTTCCCTATTATCCAATACCTCACAGAACATGACATTCTGCCTAAAAACAAATACTATCATGATCTGATATTCTTTTGAAACCATGTGAGAGGTATTAATTCTGATTCATATTGGTTCATATTGTTTTACGTCCCTCTGATATGTACAATGCTGTATGATGTGGGAAACTGAAATTTGTAGACAAAAGCTTCTCACGAATATTAGTTAATGACGCTCACATAACTTTGTTTGTATGCCTTCACAACATCTTGGTAATGGTTTGTGACACAATGTCCCTTTAAAGCTGTTTTGGTTCTAGGATTGTATTGATGTTTGTATTTCAGCAGGGGTTTTGTTTTGTTCTTGGGGGTTTTGTTTTGTTTTGTCTACTTTACTACTGCAACTTGAACTGGCTATGCAAGATATTTCTGTACCTTTTGAAAATTGAAATAAAAACAAAGGTAAAAAAAAGCTCTTGCCACAACATAAAAACAAAGTTTTTTTAAAAAAGCTCTTGCCACAATTTGAATCAGTAACACTTTGGAGTCTGTGTATTCCTACTGACAGTTGTGTACCCACCAGGTTGATAAGAACCTGTAAAAACAGAGGCCACTTGCTTGAGGGACCAAACTAACAGGTCAGTAGCATCAAAAGCTGCTGAGTGGTCCAGAAGTATCAACAAGGCCACTCTCCCTGTCTTTGTCCCAGAAAGGTTGTCTATCTGGCAACTAAAGTGGCATCCATCTCAAAAACAGGCCAGAAGCCAGTATCATCCAGATATGCCTGGTGATAAATGGACGCCACCTGCTCAAGTACCTCGCTCACAAACAGGAGGTCTGCCACCACCCAGTAACTGGCCAGATTATCAGTGGGGTTCAAGGACATTTCTTCAGCAGTAGGCCTCATAACTGCTACCTTCAAGGAGGCTGGGAAGGAAAGGGTTAAACAACACCTCCTCTTGACCGGTTCTCCACTCAATCTATAGCTGCTTTCCTTCATAAGAATGCCCTCAGGATAAAGAGTCACGGAACCACACTTAACATATAGCTCTGCCCTACCTTTGTTGGCCTGTTGAAAAGACAGGAACCTCCCCCTCTGCCCAAAAAGGTCTTGTATTCTGCAATGCTGCACTTTGCGAATTTTCTGGAGTGGTAGACACTAAAAAAAACAAAGTTCGAGAAATATACTTCATGATAAGGCACTGAAGAATGTAACAGCCCACCAGATTAAAAACGAACGAACAACCAATACAGGCTTGCTCAAACAGATATAATCCCAGCTCCACTTGGCATAGTGAGGACTCTCCACATTTTTGCAGACTTAAACAAGATGCTGGAGCATCTTGGGTCCAGCATCATATAATACAACAGATTATGCAAATTATTAATTTCCATGCTGTGCATGAGCATAAGGCAGGAGGAGGATGTGAGACTCAGGATTCCCCCAGTCTTGTTCCCACACTAACAAATATGGTTACACACTAGTACACTGTAATATACAAATACACAAAAGTACCTTAAAGCATAATCCTATATTTTTAAAAAGTTATGAGAGTCGTTTAAGAACAGCATTTTTTCCATTGCTGGAAAATTTTAGACTACATATGTTCCTCCAGTTCGCCTAGATTTCATATGAGGTTTCACCTGGAAATGTTACTCTTTGTTGCTTCCTAACCTGAATAGTGACAAGGTAAGTACACTAGCGTGTATAACTATTCTGCTTTTCCAAAAGCAGAATTATACCATTAGAAGCTGCAGATTTTCCTGCATAAACCATACGATATTAAATCATTTCCTAATTTTTTATGTTCAGAATGCCCAGTTATATGGAGTGGACTGCAATACTTACCATAGTTTTCTTTTAATCATTTTTACATGCAAAAAAAAAAATGTTGATATTGATAAATAGCAGTTCTTTCCCATGTAAGTATCCCTTTTCAAACTAAGAAAATGGAAAAAGTGTATGCAATCATTAACTTATTTAGGAATAAGGTCCAGTGTTAGTGTATTTGTATATTCACCCCAGTTATTACAGGTTCCTTAATTTGTTCTGAGCAGCTCATACACAGTATATAACCCTCAGGTACTGATCATTATAGCCTACCCAGTTTCCTCCATGATGCATCCACCCCAGGATTCTGTGCAGTCACATTCTTCTCAACAAAAACACAAAAAAATGAAGAAGAGCAGTTAAAATATAACAAACAACCACCATTTATATAGGGGAGGAGAGCTGATATGGAACTCTGCTCCCATAATACTGAATTATAGAAGCATACTTAACAGGGAAGGGCTACATGGGAACAGATTAAGACATGGTATTCCTGCAAAGATCATTACACCTTTGATTCTAGCTATCTGCTTGCCAGTGTGAAAACAGTCTGAGCTCTCTTCCCTTGGGATGCATATTGAAGACACTGAGTCATTACTATGCCATTGTCTCAAAACTAAATTATTCGGGATATGGCTTTGACTACCCCAGGCCATATGCAAAATGGTAGATATATGTTAAGAGTTCTTTAGCTACAGAAAGTAGACTTTGATATAAAGTAAAAAGATTTAACTTGCCTCAAAATATCTGCCTGCACTGCCATGCTTTTAAACACATGACAAAGTACAGTTCAATTTGTAGCCTTGTGCTGGAGCAAATGTCAGTATATCCTAGTCTAATCATTATTATATTCACAGAAAACCTTAGAAACAGGCTAAAAGGAAATATAAAAGGGAGACATTAAATTAGTGTAAGAATCAGCACATTTATAGAGCCATCCTATTTGGATTTATACCCATCTAAGGCCAATGACTCTGCCTAGGATGGTACTGCTTGTGTAATCTCTATATACATACTTCTCAAAAAGTAAAGTACATTGGTCACTAACAGTCTGACTGATTAATGACTGCAGAACCAAAAGCACTTAAACAAGCAACCATCCACATAAATATACACAGGGGGGGGGGGAAAGACCTGTGAGGGAGAAATCACATCCTCCCAAAGCAGGATGACCAGCCTGCTTGGATGCAACATCCAGCTACTTAGCTCCACCGCAGCAGAAGGGGGCTGTGGCGGATCCCATTTTCTATGCCTCCGCCTGCCTACATGCCTAGCTTATATGGCGAGGATGCAGCTCTAGTGGCTCCCGCTCCTCCTCCCTGCCTACCGGCCTGCATAGGAGAGGTGGCAGCAGTAGGGCTGGCATTGGCAGCAGTGCCTGAGCTGACACCAAGTCTCCTCCTCCTCCACTCCCTCCGAGCCCAGACATTATTCCTCCATTTTTTCATAATTTTTGATAAACCCGGACAGTACCCCTGGTCTAGAGAAGAATATCTCCTCTCTCAACCTAGCCCCATTCTCTGGTTCTGTCTCTCCACACAAGTCTAGGTTCAGCATTAGAAAGAATACTACAAGCAGGGAACACACAAGGGGATGTGGAGACACCTCATTTCCCCTGATATCCCCCTCCCACACCATTTCCTTTTCCCCTCCTCCCAGCAGCTCCGATATCTTCTCCCATTTCTGCTTCTCCCACCCACTGAACCTATCTTTTACATACTCCCCCATCTCCAGCTTTATTATTTATTTACCTCATTTATACCCCGCCTTTCACCCCAATGGGATCCCCAGGTTACATCATTCTCTTCTGCTTCATTTAATCCTCACAACCCTGAAAGTGTGTGACTACTCCAAGGTCACCCAGCAAGCTTCCATGGCAGAGAGGGGATTTGAACCTGAGTCTCCCAGATCTAGTTTGACACTTGACTACACCACACTGGCTCTCAGCTTTCCCTCCTTCCTTCCCTCTGGCAGCCTCTCCCTGGGAAAATTCCAATCAAGCTACAGAAGTCATGTGGCAGTAGGTCCCTCAGGTGAGTTTCATGGCAGGAATAGCTGGGCCCAGCCAAGTCGCATAAGTTGTGCAGTGGCTGCTGCTGGGCCTAGGCAAGTTGCGTAGCATCAGGTTGTCTGGTAGCCACTGCCAGACATAGGTGAGATGCACAAAGTGCATGGCAACAAATCAATGTGATGCTCAGACAAGTGATATGGTGGCTGCTGCAGCACAGTAGCAGGTTGTCAGGTGGATGTCACCAGGACTGGGTGAGTCATGGAGGTTGTGTGGTTGGCATGCTGGTTGCTGCCAGGCCTGGCCCCAATGAGTCCTCCCTCCAGAGGAGGGCTAAGAGAAGCAGAGGTGGGCTGGGAGGTCAAAACAGCGCTCCCTGAGCCGTGTGTCTGTTATTTCTTTCAAATTTTCCCACAAACCTGGGTTTTTTTTAAGGTTTCGGCAAAGACTTGTCTTGCAAGTTCATAGCTCTAATCTCTGGATTTATGTATCCACAGATGGTGGCCATGTAGAGAATTGGGTATATTGATGATGTATTCATTTGATACAACGTTATTATCTCAAAAACTTAAAATATATGCAAGTTGTGTAAACTAACTAAGAGAAGGAATTTAACGCAAACTACATACTTGGTTTTCTGGCTCCTGGCTCCCACTGTATTCCTAAATTCTGAGCCAGACTTTGGGACAGTTCTTGTGCTATCGCCGGGGGAAGACCATACTGTTTGAAACAGAAACATAAAACTACTAAAGATTACTGCAATTTACACTGCAAGGCTTCTGTTTTACTACTCATTCTGTGTAGAATTTGACCCAAAACCTAAAACATACTTAGCTGGAAGTAAGTCAGACTAATCTGAATCAAGTTTAATTCCAGCCATGTAAACTTTTCAGAACATGTACACTGTACAGTAAAAAAGGAAACATTTGTTTTGTTCATTTCAAGTAAAATATATTTCGTTTCCTTAGTTATGGTCCAGAGGTTCATGAGCTGAGATCTATCAGCCTATAATTATTTTCTCAAAGTCCAATCAGAAAGAACAGCATTTTGACATCTCTCTTAAAAAGAATCCGAATGTGTCCATAAGATGCAAACAAAATGAGTTTAAACACATAATGCAGAGAACTTTTTTGGTGGCTGTGCATTTGAGGTTAAGCTTTCAATTCACAGCTACGGTCAAAGAGCATTTCTGCACAAACGTTTCTTGCAGTTTTTCAGAAAGGTTTTTCTTGTAGTTCTTCAAAAATACAAATCATCAGTGCAGATTCAGCACAGGCTGCACACTAACCATTATGCCAAGCTAGGACTAGGAGCTCCAAAGCCCCACCTTTGCTAGGTACCTCCTTCCTGGAGGCAATTTTCCTCTCACATCTGGTTTTGCCACACCATTACTACCAGAACAGAAGCCTTCTCCTTCAAGCAGAACTGTCTTGTCACTTTTACAAGAATTAAACTACAAGGGGCCATGAAAGAAAAGGCCCAGCAAAACAGAAATAAGAGAAACTTTATTTTAAATCTAAGTTCCAAGAACGAAGTTTGATACTGAACTAACAGAAAGATCCTTAGGTAACAGCTCTGAAAACATCAGTGATGTCAGATACATCTGAAACAGGCAAATTTGCTTGAGTTGCAGCAATTCTTAAATGCTTGAAGATTATTGTTACTATTTATTGTGCTACTGAAAAATATACTGAATACAGGAGCTGCCACATACGTCTAATAAGCCTGTACTAACATCAAGAAAAAGGTGCAAATAACTTTAATCAATTAACTTTAATCAATTATCTTTAAGGCTAAGGTCTTAGGATATTCCTATAAATAAAATCGGGGGATTTAAAGTACCCTTTAAAAAGGCAGAGAATGTTTTCATTATCCTCCCCCATAACCATCAAAAGAGAAAGGTTACCTCATTGACACCAACACCTCGAGTTACAGAACAGACTCCTCCAAAATAACTCAGACTACTCCTTTTGTAATGAAATGTCACATTCCTTAAGAACAAAGATAAACCAAATAATAATAAAAGGTTTCTTCATATAGTAAATTGTAGTGACATGTCTCAAATGTCTGAAAGTTCCCCATCACATCAATTAATACTATCACTACTATTTATGGGTGAATAAACTAATCAACAGAAATGGTCAACAAGGGCAAGAGGGTCTATCCCTCCACCCCTGCAATAGATCCCTTCATCATAGATTCATTCATTCCCAAGGTGGGGCTTGGAGCAAAGCAAATTCACAGTGAAAAAGGGGAAAAAGACTTCACACACAAGACCAGTTCCTAGTTCTCCTAGCCTTTAAGCCAGTCGTGCTGATCGCCCCCCTCCCCCCGCTTCCTTTGTAGTACAGGATTTCTGCCCCTGCCAGTGAACCTTGTGAGACTGTGTCATGTGTCTTCCTACAGGGAGTTTCTGCTACTTCTGCGGGACTCCGTGCCATATGTCACTTTCCAGCTTACCACCCTCTTTCAACATTCTAACTACTGAGGGCACAACTTCATGTAGATGCAATGGAACAGAGGGTCCTATTGAGACTCCTCTTCCTCCGCTGAAGCTGGTGCCCAATTGCACTGACTGGAAGGACAGGCTGCTATTGTCCATTTTGGTATGTCAACAAACATTACTGTTCCAGGAACAAGGAAATCACATTGGCAGCTGTGAAAAATAAAGTACATCATTTGCCCCATTTTGCTGAACCCATCTGTGTGGCTATACTTGTAAACTACCTTTGACACTGTTTCCTGGTACTGCTACCAACTTGGCCTGCAGAATGCCTGGGCCTAACTCCTCCTGCAGACCTCCACCCCAGCCTACAGATGGTGTAAAGGCCTGCACCACCACCTCTCCTGGGAAGGGAGAGGCTGCAGACTGCCGGCTTTTTTCCTGTCTCTTTAGGTGTCTTTTGCTGATGTTCTATTTTCTACCAATTTTGAGTTTTGTAATAATTGGGTTATGAGCAATGAATGTTTTGATGTAGTATTTTGAGTAATTATCTTAGATTTTCCATGAATATGACGTTTGAATGATACTTGGAAGTTCCGTCTTGCAGAAGAAAACACCATATACGTAAGCTAAATAAATAAGTACTTTTGTTAATATCTCCATTGCATTTTGAAATAAAATGCAGACACAAACATTTGCTAGGGCTGGTACATATTTTGTAGCTTATTTTCCTCCATTACGATGTTTGTGTTTTTCCAATGGCAATTACAGCCATAAACAGGATTTGAGGTCTCTCTAGGTAGGAAAAAGTAGATAATTAAGGGGTTGGTTTTTTAAAAGATACTTTAATCTAGAATCGGTTATTTTGAGCTTTCATTGGTCTGGTTGATGGGCTGTGCTTTTATGCTGGCCTGGGTTTTAGTTAATATATTTTATTGTTTTGCTTTTATTTTTCAAACCACCTGGGGCAGGTGACTGGAGAAGCAGCATAAAAAATTCTAACTACATAAATGAGAAAGACTGCTGCAAGAGCTTCAAAGAAAGGTGCAATGTACAAAAATATTAAAGCTGAGTGCCAATACATACGAGAGAAGTTGAACAGCATCGGCGTGCTGCTTGATGTACTGCTGCCGATATCGGGAGAAATCATGAAGCATCTGCCTTGGGTCGGGGCGAATAGTGATACGATCCCTGTCTGACCAGGTTTCAACAGCAACCAAAACCACCCTGGTATTCAGTTGCTCCTTGAAAATCTGAGGGAAGAGACAGGACAGGCACAGGAGTAGAACACTGGGTCAAACATGCACAATTAGCCAATTAGTCAGTGGAAGGACAAAAGGGGCAAAAGGAAGAGGGAAAACATGGGTATATCATTAGCCAATATACCGCTTAATTTTCTTTAAAATCAGTACGCTTACATTAAATCAAAGTGTACATTAAATCTAGTCATACAGAAGTAACAGAGTGTCTCGCTCATGTACACGTTCAGAAGACCTATGCAGGTATTTCTACATACATACACAAGTGCATATCATCTCATTAACTCGTGGTCAGGGGGATTCCTACTCTCCTGAGTTTACAATAAGGAGGTAAAACAGAGCTATTCCAGAGCCTGTTTGAGGGAGCCAGAGCCTGGGCAAAGGGATAATAACACCCAGCTGGTGGAAGCATAAGATGTTTTTAGATTGCTTTTTAACGTTTTATATATGTTATTTAATTTTTGAAATCAAATTGCTTTTATACTGTTGCTCTGAAGGCAGGCAGGCAGGCATATAAATATTTTAAAAATATAAATACATAAACTCGTGCTGTGGGAAATAACTGTAAATGTGCTGGAATCAATTACAACAGCAATTATATCTCACTTATCACTCTATGGCTGCAGTCACACACACTAATTGATTCACTTTCAATGCACTTTCCAACTGGATTTTGTCAGTTCATGCAGTAAAACTCCAGTCTGAAAGTGGACTATTTAGTGTGTGTGACTGCAGCCTATGTATTTGAAATCTCAGGGTCCACAGGTAGATACTCACTGAGGGCACAAAATTAGGCAGTTTTCCAGTGCCACTAAAGATCTCTACCAATAGGAACTACAGGAGCAGTGGGGCTCACTCCAAGAGCTGCCAAGAGAGGACTCTTTGTTGACAGAGGGTAAGTGACCAGTGTGCATGGCTTCCTTCAGCAAAATTAAGGCCCCAAAACTCAGGGCAAGAAAAATCCCAGGTATCAGGTGACCCTGGCACTTAGAAATTTCATTGTAGCACCTAATGTTTTCAGCCATGATTTTATTGTATTGCGTCTCAGCAATTCTCAGGAGAAGTATAAAGAGGCAGATCAAACCAGCTGTTCCAATGGTGAAAGGGAGAGAGGAAGGGGCCCCTTCTGACCCCCCAAACATGTTTTGGATCAGTGGGCATGCATGGACAAAAGCAATGGGGGGGCTGTAATTGGGAAGATGATCTGACCAAATTGACCACAACAGCTGGCTGGATCTAACCCAATTATCATTTCACATCAGAGTGTTTTGTTGTATGACATAAACACTATTGACCACTGCCCACCGTGAAGGTGTGTAACAAGGCAACATGAGTTAACTGACAAGAGATAACACAGTAGCTGTACACCATCATGCCAGGCCAGTCCCTCCCCCCATTCTACTATTCTGTCCCACTGACTGCTGGTTAATGAGATGGTGGAGGGGACTGGTGTGTGCGCGCACATGTGCAAACACACATATGTATATATGCACAGATATATGTACAGGAGTCCTCTGTTTAAATATGTAAGTAAGGGAGAGAAAAAGACTGCAAGATAAAGTATGGCTAGAAGAAACCTCTTCCCCCTGGAATGTTTGAGGGCCTATACTTAAACATGAAATCTCTTATGCACTTTTCTGTTACCTGTTCACAATATGTCAAACATAAAATAGTCATTTTAGTTCTCGTTTGCATAAAATTTGTTTAAAGAACACTGGTTTCCTTCCTGCAATCTACATTGGTGCCATCCTACAGATAAGAAATCGTAATAGGATTTATCTAAAATGTTTGAAAATTTAAGAATCTTTATTTTAACGCATCTGTCTACATCTCAGTATCAGCAAACATACATGTTGAATAAAATGTTATTAGTAACATTGATCATAGTAATACTTACAGCATCTACAAGATTTACCACAGACTTCGCAAAGTTGTTTACATAAGCATGGGATAACCGATGTTTTTTGAACTAAAAGAAAAAAACATAAATTAAAATAAATGTATGCTATTTGCACTGCCAGAAGGCAATAGCAGAACAACTGCAGGAAAACAACCAAAAATACCTTTCTTTTTGGACTATTAACACAGATTAGTTTTATTAAGATTAATGGCACAAAAAAGGGTGAAATCTTTTGTTGCTTTAAATGCAACAATTGCCCTGCATCAGTTTCACTTGAAAGTTATTTAATTGTTGATCACAAACACCATTTGCAGTTTGCTCTCAGTGATCCCTTTCTCAGCTTCAACTGGAATAACACTTTTACTGAACCACCTAGAAGTTTAAAACAAGCTTTTGAGCTACAAACCCTGGTTCATTAGATACCACACTGAAATAAACATCCTGACATCTGCAGGGGCTGCTCGTCCGAAGAACAAGTACAAGCAACTTGCTTCCAGATAATTTTTAGAGCCTCTCCTCGTCCTGCACTTCAGGCAAGCAGAGAGCTGCCACTGCCAAAAATCAAAAGCAGGACAGGGATTTCCTTCTCTCCTCTAGCAGGAAAAAAAAAATCAAACAGCACAGCAGGACACTGTGCTGCCAGGAGCAGCAACTCTTCTTGCCTACAGACAAATTTAAAGTCATATTCGTCTACTGGATTGTCATGCTTTGAATGGTGAGGAATTTGGACTATTAATACTTACCTAATTTGTATGCAAAAGGCTCAAGATTATTAAAATAGATTTAAAAGGATTCATAGCTAGGTCCAACAAGAGCCACTTTTCTAAAGCCATAAATTCAATTCAATTAAAAATTTCAACTATAAAAATTGCAAGATTTGAACCATCCATTTATTATAGGAGTTTTCATTTCCGAATTATCATTTCCCTACTGCAGATGGATGGCTGAGAAACTGTGCTTTGCATTGAAGTCATCTTTTGAGTTCAAGACATTCAAACCAGGGACCTCCTAATCTGAAGTTTAGTTTTTTAGCCACCGTGCTACATGAAGGATGCCTTAGTAACAAGTGCGGGAAAGCCCGACTGTTAGATTTCTTCCTCTTAGGGATTTTGCTGGCATAATATTTAGGCAATGATGTTGCCTCCTGGGGAGATGGCATCACTATGGAGTCATGAAAATAGATACTAGAGAGTACTTTAAAGTATGGGAGGGGAGTAAATTAAAGGCAAAGCTGGCCAAAGTGAGTGGAGTTCCCCTGTCCTGAGAGAGGCCGCTGGTGCCTCCATCCAGCAATTTCAATCAGTTGCAGCACAGGACTGCTTCCAGGAGACGACCTTTCTTTTAGCCTTTTAACAAAAAATACAAAGGAACTAACCTGTGGCCTGGTGGATTTTGACCACATCTGTAGTCCAGCGTTCCGCAAACAAGCTTACAGCTGTGCCCAATTCCCAGTCCTTAGCAAATTGTACATATTTCTTAAATTACATCAATAATAACATACACAACAGTTCGTACTTGGAAAGAGGATATTTTAATATCAGCTAATAACTACATAATTAGACAATATTGAGAAAATCTGTAAACTTACCATTTTGTGATCATTAACAATCATGAGCTCCAAGTATTTCATTTCTTGAAATATGCGTTCTGATGCCTGTAAGATTTTAAAAGCTACAGTTGGATGCTTAAAAAATGAATTTGGTGATGCTCTGTTTTCTTGCCATGAGGTTGCCATGCTGTGTAACTAATTTCAGCAAAATTACTGACATGGGAAAAGTCATCTTATTTTTTAAAAAAACAAATACAATTAATACACAAAAATTACATTCCAGTGCCAGTTTGCTTAACAAAACATTTCTTTGGGCCCAGAAGCACTTATTTCCAAGTAGACATTTAAGCAATCAGGCAACAGGTATAAAGTGTTAATTAGTCCAATAATATTGTTGCCAGTTCTACTAATGTATACCATGTATGGGAGTGACCTAATTTATTCCACATAAATTCAAGAAAAAATAGCTGTATATTTTTAAAAGATATTTCAATAATATAGCGACCTTCTTTATAAAACTTTGAAAATAACATACTAAAATACTATCTTATACTTGTGGTGTATTAACATTACTTATCTTATACTTGTGGTGTATTAAGCATTAACAACTACCATATTTCCACTGGAGGTCAGAGGAATGTTCAGGAAGTGAGCCAGGCCATTCCCCATTTGAGGTCACTACTTGGCAAAGATGGGGGTGGACAATTTTCCTGTACTTTAATTTCCTGTGGAAATGTTTCCTCTTCGAAAGATTTTATGATATTACTGTTTTTATTGTTTTAATATTGGTTTATGCTGCCAGTGGCCTGGTAAGCCGCCCTGAGCCTGTTTCGGCGGGGAGGGTGGGGTATAAAACAAACTAAATAAATAAATTAGTTGTCCCAGAAAATTATCAAAAATGAAAAGATACCATTGCCAATACATTGTTAGTCAACCTTGGCAGTTTCAAAACTGTAATTAACATTTTCCAGTTGACTATTCCTATGAATGGTGTGAAAGAAAATATGTACGTTTCACTGATTTGTAAACCGAGGGAGGGAAGATAAAGCCACAAATACATATAATAAGCCAAATTTTAAAAAAATGAATTTACAGATTCACCTGATTGGCTACACAGATCAAATCAAAGCCAAAGCTAGAATTGTTATTTTAAATGTATCTCACATGATTGAAGGGATATTGTAATAATCAATCTGATATGGAACTAACAAGACATGAGGTACCACAGTGGCTGCTGTGGAGAAGAGTTAAATTCTGTTGAAACACATGAGTGGACAACCATTTCTGTGGCAGATCACGCACAAGACTTTCAGAGTGCTAAAATCAGTTTAACAGTTTTCAGGGCCTTTAAAAAAATGTAAACATAAGGGAAATGCATGCCATGCTGTCTAATTCTTACAGGTAATATTGCATAAAAATATTTTCCACATAAAGCTAAGAATCTGTTTGAATAAAATATTTACACCACATTTGATTTGGGTTTATTTTTCCCCCCAATCGAATATTTCAGTTCAAGTATTGGCTGCAGTTGGGACATGAAAATAACATGAGGTACTTTTAAGACTTGTATAAATCAAAACATGCTAAACATGCTAAATCAGACTGCATTCTATTTAAGTAAAGGTAAAGTTTTCCCTTGCTCGAAAGCCAGTCGAATCCGACTCTAGGGGGCAGTGTTCATCTCCATTTACAAGCTGAAGAGCCAGTGCTGTCCGAAGATGTTTCTATGGTCATGTGGCCAAGCATGACTAAACGCCGAGGCACACAGAATGCTGCTACCTTCCCACCAAAGCGGTAACTATTTATCTACTTGCAATTTCTTGCTTTCAAACTGCTTGGTTGGCAGGAGCTGGGGCCAGAGACGGGAGCTCACCCCATCATGCAGCACTAGGGTCTCGAACTGCCGAACTACAAACCTTCCAGTCTGCAACTCAGCATCTTAACCTCTGAGCCACCACAGCCCCGCATTCTATTTAAGGCACTAGATAATTTTTTTGATTCTCATCTTCCCAGAAATCTACATCACTACTACAGGGCAGTGGCAGCTTCACTACCAATCCTGTGATTGGGACGTTTGAGCCAAAGCACCCTAATTTTCCTCAAGGATTAACGTGATTATTAGAGGGCCTAGTCTGGGTTGCAGGTGTCCATGAGTTGGGCCTTCCTGCAAATACCATCTTTATCTCTTTCAAGGCTGGACTGGAATGTGGTAATTGGTTAATTGTAAGAAACTGTGCTCAGTTGTGGAACCAGGTGGGAGGGGCGAATTAGGAGCAGATGCTAACTTCTTCTGGAAAGTTTCATCAAAAGAGATTCCTGATTGGATCTGAGAGACCACCTAATGCCAGAGGGCAAAAGGCTATAACAAGGGTATAGGCCAGAGGGAAGCCATGCTAACTTTACACTCATGCCATGCTAGTAGGCTTATGCTTCATCATGTTATGCTTCATCATGATTGACTGCAATGTATAGAATGCTTTTATGCTACTGCACAGACTTTTATGCTGCAAGAAGATATACCATCTAATACCAGGTATTCAATGTATTAAACAGAACAGTTAGCGTCTTTATTTTCTCTGCCGCTATGCTATAGAGACTGTACTGCATACTGAAATCTTTTTTAATCCTTGAATAAACCAATATATATATTTTTAAAGGTCTACTTTATTTGTGTGCATTTAACCTTGAGGACCCACAGGGCTGGTTACTGCTCAAGGGACAAGGAGTAATAATCCAGGGGGACGCAGGAAGATATGATACTACTACATTTGGCAAAGTTTCCCAAGTATTTAAAAGCAAAGAGATCTTGTGATTTGGTGTAGCATTACTGACGTCATAACACTCACAGCCCTTCTTCTCCTTCTTAGCCACTGCAACTCCGATAGGAAGGGCCATTCAGAAGCAGAGTCAGTATCTGTAGAAAATAAAATTAAAGCAATGACATTAACTAATTTCAGCTCCACAGCATACAGTATGCACATCTTTATAATGAGAACACCGTACCTGTATACATAACAAGTAAAAGGGTAACTCAAAATAATTAAAGTGTTATACAAAATTCAGTATTTTTCACAATACAAGATAGTGTATTTTGATGCTTCCCTAGAGAAAATAACATTTGTTAACGTGTTTTGTTGAATGAAAGGAACTGAAGGGCACAATTCTACAACCAGATTGTAAACTGGTCAGGACAGCGACTAAGCTCCATGCCGGTGTAACTTAAGAGATAAACTAGCATAACTCAAGAGATATGAAGGAGAACAGAAGTCTGGAAACCTTTGCCAATTCCCTAATGAACTAGGGATAAGCAGCAGTCATGACACAGCCAAAGCAAAAATTTATTCATTTCAACAAAACAGCACTATAAGCATAAGTACATATTTTAATAAAATTGATGCTTCAGGGTATTAAACTGATGAATTATACAAGTTAGGACCAGCAATAACTTATGGGGGTGGTCAATGCAGAAAGAGAAAGAAGACAGTGGGAAATTCTTTTATTTATTGTAGGTATGTCCAAAATTCAACTCTTTGAGAAAAAATGAGCACTATCAGAAGTTAGGGGTATCATTTTTATATGCAGCAAACATTTATGAACATGAGAAGGAAAGATTGTAAGCAACTACACTAGGATCTTTTTATTCATGGACGGGAAAAACCAAATTTTTTTTACCACCAGTACAACTATCAAGTTGTCACCCAGAACTGAATATGTTTACAGCAAATGGTTGTTTTAATAACATATATCTTACATTAGCAAGAACCTTTATTACAGCCGTATAGTTCTGCATTGAAATTGGGAACGTTTGTGTTACCTGACAGGGCAGTAACCCAATTAATGTTTCCATCGATATTTTTTAGTATTTGATATAGCAAAAAAGTTTAACTGACCTTGAATTTTAAAACATGAAATACAGTTAAAATAATGACAATATTTATATCACATTTCAGTAATAACATCATACCAGTGTCTTCCACTTGCTTGGAGGCATTTGTTGCTAATATTCTCTGGATGACATGTGGCCTACCCACGCTGCTCTGTAACAAGAGAGAAACAAAGGCCTATTGTGGTGATTCAAATTTAAACACAAGATAGTCTAAAATGCAGCTGGTGCGTGAAAACATTTATTTCTTTATTCATTTATGCTCCACCTTTCTCCCCATGGGGACCCCAAAGCGGCTTACACTGTTCTCCCCCTCCTCCATTTTATCCTCACAACAACCCTGTGAGGAAGGCTAGACTGAGAAAGTAAGACTGGCCCAAGATCACCTATTAAGCTTTCATGACATGAGTGGGGATTCATACCTGGGTCTCCCAGATACTAGTCCAACACTCTTAACCACTGCACCACATTGGCTCTCCAATATTAACACTGATTTACACTGAGTCAGGCCCTTGGTCCACCAAAGTTAGTATTGTCTACTCTGATGGGTAGAGGTTCTCCAGGGTGGCAGGTAGAGGGATCTTTCACATCACCAACTACTTGGTTCTTTTAGCTTGAGATGTTCTATCACTGAGATACAGCCCCATCCCTTAATACTGATATAGGGAGACATGACTTAATACTTCTCTCTCATAATGATCTGAACTTGTAATAACTTGTAATAACTTCACAAATCAATCTTTAAACCCTGTATGAGAATGGGTTGGATCCAAAGAAATGTAAGTGTAACCCCCTCTCCGTTCCACCAGAAAAGCTACTCTTGGTCCATTCTTAACGTTCAATAAGACTCTGAGCTCGCACCGCTGAATGTCAAGTCAGCATTGCAGATGGTTTAGGACGACTGAAAACTCGCCTAACAATTAAGTTCACAGTATGTATGTTATATATCAAACTGTAGGCATATAAGAACATAAGAGAAGCCAATGTTCGGGGTCAGGCCAGTGGCCCATCCAGTCCAACACTCTGTCACACAGTGGCCAAAAATACCAGGTGCCATCAGGAGGTCCAGCAGTGGGGTCAGGACACTAGAAGCCCTCCCACTGTTGCCCCCCCCCAAGCACCAAGAATACAGAGCATCACCTGCCCCAGACTGAGAGTTCCTATCTATACCTTGTGGCTTTTAGGAAACAACCACCCACCCACCCCACAAATTAGCTTCATAAAAACATCTAGAAGAAACGTATTCAAAAGCAAACACATGCAGTGTTCCATAAAGGTGTCAGATGGCACCATTTATTGCTGCTGCACGTAATTCTCATAACTCTAGGTATGTCTGTAACAAACCAAAACACTATCATAGATTAACTTACTGTGCTGTGAGTCAGCTCCATAGGTTCTATTAAGTATACATAGGTATTATCTTCAAACATGCCACTAGAACATAAAAAAAAAATAGAAGCACTAAATGTAGTTTAAACGCTCTATGATACCAAGAAATGTTAAATGTAACTGCACCAAAGTTTGCATTTACTGAACCAACAGTAAGTTTTAAGGCTGAAATAGTTAAGTGTACTTTTGACAGCAACTAGGGAAAACATAAGAGCATGATGAAAAAAGCCTTATGCTACAGTCATGGTGGATAAATTATCTTCGTAAATCTCTACAGGATAGTGAGGGAAGAACACAAAAAGAATACAATCAAGTTAATAATGGATTATAATAAATTAGAGGTTGAGCACATTAAAGAAACAATTATGGAACAACCTCCCCAGGGAGGTATGCCTGGCCTCCCACATTGTCGATCTTCAAGAGGCAGTTGAAGACAGATTTATTTAGGACTGCATTTTATTATTGGCCATCCGAATTGGAGGGTTTTTTTATCTGTGACTTGCATAGGTTTTCTAATGTTGTTTTTATTGTGTTTTTATAATGCTTTACTTATATTGCAAGCTGTCTAGAGTCCCACAAGACAGAAAGGTAGCTAACAAATGTTTTAAATCAATTTTAAAAGAAGCAAGTTCTGAAGAAGGAAAAGATTACTGTGCTGAGAGAGTTAGAACCCAGCTGAAAGAATGAAAATGAACAGGACAGAGCACAATTTAAAATTGACTCCTAGAACACAGAACTTCCTTGCTGGATCAGACCAAGGTACATCTAAGACCAGAAGGGCATGGGATTAAGGCAGTCTAATGTTACAGAGGAAAGAATTAGTAGCTGCTATTAAAAAGAGCCGTCTAGGTATCACTGTTAGTGGCTCACTGACAATGTCAGTTATTTGAGTATCAGTTATCGAAGAATGTTTTTAAGGGATCATAATGCCTGGGACCTACCTGAACAGAAACAAAAAGAATTATAAATACACAGACGTATCAGATAGCTCAACTCTGTATTTGCATGTTCTTCTGCTCAACTGACCAAAGAGGCACGCAAGTGGCAAACTGCACCAAACTGACTCTTTGCTCCCCCCCATCTCTACTAGCATTAAAGGATTACTTGGATTCTCTCTCCCTCTTTCTTACTAGGAGGAGGAAGAAACCCTGCCCACACTCTCAGCTCACCTCTGTCCCTAGTTTGGCAGCACCAAAATATTGTTCTCTTGGCAAACAGATGGTCCCAACACAGTATTTGCCAAGATAATGGAGAAAGGGCACTTTCAGGTGAGGACTAGAAGAAACCTCTTGTTCTCTCCAAATCATGCCCTGATTCCCTCGAGGCCATTTTACTCCCAGCCAGGCTCATTTCTGATTCCAAAGCTTGGCCTTGGGGGTTAGGAGATTTGGCAGGCGGAAGGAAGGATTAAACATTCTTTTCCCATCCACCAGATCTCCATGCAAACAGCACTCCCATTCTCATTGTGAGAGGAAAACAAGACTGGAACTCTGTTTCCAGATATTTCCAGTCATTTGCAAATCAGAAACAGTAATGATACTCACTGTTCACAACAGTACAGGTATCGGACAAACATTAAAGTACATTTGTATCAGAGACTTTCTCCCTACATAGCGACATGGCACTGCTAATGACTTGGATCCGGCCGAGTGTTGCCACGAGTGCAAAGATTTCTTTTCAATGTCTGCCTGCCCTAACCCTAAGCCCTGCTACAGCCTAAAGTGCCCCCTGAACATCACCTAGGAGCAGTACCGTGGGGGGGGGCACATCTGGGCCTGCAGAGGGAAAGGGGATGCGAGAAAGTTTACTTCACAGGCAGGAATCCTTGCAGCTACAGAAACACTCAGCCAGATCCAAGCCAATGTGTCATCCAATATATGCTGGGAGTTCTTCCCATAAGTTTAAGAATAGAAAACTGACTGTAATACCAATAATCTTATTTTAAGGAGCAAAATGTTAAGACTCCCAACAGTAACCGGTTATATTAGCAGGTTAAACCACTAAGTTATTAAGACAGTAAGACACTTAATACTAATCAGCACTTACTGGAGTCCATTACATGTAGAAAGTGCAGCTTTTGAGTTTTTGATATCTCTGATATTCCCATGATAGTAACAGTGCTCTCCACCCTGAAAATTAACACATAATTAGCATAATATTTTAAGATTTTTGCAACTGCATTTTCAATAAGTTACCATACACTTATAGTGTGGACAGGTGATTGATTACTTGAATGTATGTTTTAAGGACAAAAAAAAAGTTTCCAATAAAATAGTGTGCTATTTAGAACAGAGACGTTTGGCTGTGGATGAAAAAACAGAATGTGTTTCTGCTGAAGTAACAATGTTACATAAAACTCGTCACTGACATCTCCAGAAAAACACTTTCCTCTGTGGGAAAACCCAAAATAATTATTGCCATCCTAACTAGAAAATGACTGAGAAATCAAAGAGTCCCTTTATCCATCTGTGCTCGATGAAATCCAAACTGAGGCACAGAGTGTTCACCCCACCCCTGTACGTAACACAAAACTGTTTGGATAATGAAAAGCCCATTATTCTCTCAATCAACAAAAAGTACTTTCAACAAGAATCCCCATCATGGACTTCATATTCGCAAGTGTTGACTACAGCCCCAACTAAGAAATTATGCATATTATTTTAGTTACTCTTATAATTCCTATTTCTAAATTATGTCATCTCAGTTTCATAGCTCAACAAACACTGAGAAATAAAAAATGCTAGCACTTATCAAATACATCTAGAACTAACAGTGCAAACACTAAGCAGAGTTATACCTCTCTAAGACTACTCATGTCATTGGGTTTAAGAAGGATGTAACTCTGTTTAGGATTGTGCTGTAAGTCTCTTTTCTAGTATCTGAGAATGCCCTTCCCCCTGATCTTTTTTCTATTGTGTGCTTTTAGAACACAAAGTAATGATCCTTGCTATGGAACATGTGACCTCAAGGTTTCTATCTGCCTTGCGTAATCAATTGACTCTGAAAATATCCTCCAGGAAATCTAGATCAAGTTACTGCAGCATGCAATGATGGTCCATTTGCTGAGTCTAAAATTCTGTATAATCCTGTAGTAGGACTCATGATTCAGCAACTGCAGTACTACTGGTAATGCAGCTGATGGCTACTTTGGTTTTGAGTTAATGCCAAGAAGAATCGTTCTGTATCATTGCAGTCATCCATATAGGAATGTGTATGCACTACGCCTTTCCACAGAGCAGCAGAAAGACATGAAACTATAACTGTTCTGACATTTGCTACTACAATCTTTTCATACAAAGAGATTAGGAATCTCAAGATTTGCACGCTTTCCCCCCTTAAAAGCTACCATCCATCCTGGGAGACCACAGTTATTTCAACATAGGACCTCTCCTGAATACTGCATCTATAGTCAAATAATCACAGGATTTCCAGATACAGGTGTGGTCCACTGCTTGATAAATAGGGACATAAACCCAAGGCTTGCCTCTGATCTCACCTTGTAGAAAAAGAGAACACAAGGAAGTAACATCCAAACAAACTGAAAGGCTGTCTCTCTCATGCTTTGTGAAAAGGTTTGGTGCATAAACCAACCCTTACAGATTACAGCAATAACAGGTGCAGTGAAGAGAGTTATGCTCCAAGCATAGTTCAATTTCCAGCAAAAAGCAGTGCTGCAACACATTTTACTCTCTGCTAGCAAGCTTCATTTTTCCCCCAAAAGGTACAAAGACAGATTGACTCAAAATGCCATCTACTAAATTTTGCAGAGGACTGGAGCAAGTAAACACTGGTAAAAATCTTTAACAGTAGTATATGATAAAGCAGTAAACAGGACATATCTCAGCTGCAAATCCTATGAATCATACAATTTATGATTTTTCTTTGCTTCTAAAACCAAAGATGATTATTTGTTGAGTCTTGGCATGACAAATATCACTCAAAATATGCATTCCAATTTAACAGAAGAGAAGAGCAAACAGTAAATATAGTTCCTCTAAAACAAGAATTACAAGTTGATTTACAGGCTCCCTGCTGTCACAGCATCTTGTATACTGTCAGTAATTATTATATTGTTTGCCAACAATACAAACACTTGGCACTAATGCTACTGAAGTTGTATTTAGAGCAAGACAATGATACTAATGATACACAATATTTCATATGCTACCCATACTGAATGAAGAAAGCACATCAGCCAAAAAAAGGCTGAGGTATTTAATCTGTTCTGTTTGGCAATGCGCTTTGAGTTTTCTTCCCTAAGAAATGGCCACATTGTTGAATTTTTCTTCCAACGTTTATTTAAAATGCAGGCAAAAATTGTGGGTCAGACATAATATAATCTACAGTTTGCCACAAAAGTGGCTTCCTAGAGTTTATAAAATGCTAGTCAAACAATTAAAGAACTTGTAGCAAATATGCTGGTGAATTTTCAGTGTTCAACAAGGAGAAAAGATTTCTACAATACCTTTGAATATTGTGGTTTTCCATCTTCATAATGAATCTCCACATAATCAGAGGATAATAAATCACTAGAAATAAATGAGGGAAGACATAAATGAAGACTGTAGGTCTTTGGTCCATAGAAAAAAGTATGTAAAACAACAGAAGTACAATAACTTTTTAAAATATAGTATTTTAAAAATATTTGTCAACAAAAGACATTCAAAGGGAGATGACAACAGGGAATTGTTGAATGTATCTATGTACAAACAAACCCTGCGATATGACCAACATTAGTATGATAGTTTTTTTTAACTTTATAAGACTGCAAAAATTCTCAAATGTACAATATTGTAAAAAAGTCCAACATAGTCCAACATTATGAGTACCCAGTTATGAACTCATTTCAACTTTACAGTCTTCCTCAGATATAATCCTATATTGTCAGGAGGTGTCATCTTCTTAATCCAGCTCAGTATTGTAATTCTTAATTCATAATATCCTGGAATAAACCATAATCAATGAAAAACCACATGTAGCTGCATGGAAAATAGTTATTTTAAATTTATCATGTTTTAGTAATCTAGTTTTTAGAAAACTTACTTCTGGTTCCATAATAAGTGTTTATATTGGGAGCAAACCAAAAGCCATCTGGATTTTGCTGGCTATGCTCTCCATAAGCACTCTCTATTTTGGTAGTAGCAAACCAGTCCTTATGAGTTAATAACCGGGTACTCATAATGTTGGACTATGTTGGACTTTTTTACAATATTGTACAATTGAGAATTTTTGCAATCTTATAAAGTTTTTTAAAAACTATCATATACTAATTTTGGTCATATCGCAGGGTTTGACTGTATGTTGAGTTTCCTGTTGGATACCTGTGATCCCTTTGTTTTTTGCTGAATGTATCTATGTGACAGTATTAGCCAGGAGCTTGGTGTTTAGTCATGCCAGCCACATGACCACGGAAACGTCTTCGGACAGCGCTGGCTCTTCGGCTTTGAAACGGAGATGAGCACCGCAACCCTAGAGTCTGATTCGACTGGCTTTTGAGCAAGGGAACCTTTACCTTTACCAACATACCAGACAATTCTCTCAACTTCTATATTTGTTAAATTGCGTAACATAAGAGTTTGTGTTCTCACCAAATAAAGATACTGTGAATGAACACTGTGCTTATCTCTATACTTCTAAGTTTGCATAGAAATGCTACAAACTAGAACCCTCTTCAGCCTTTATGTCAATGTGAACTGGGAACCCCCTGATAGTGTGTAGCAGGTGTGCACAGTCCCTGCAATGCACCTGATACATGCAGTCACTGTTCTGTGCATGGATTTTCCTTGCATGCTCAACTTCTATACATATGAACCAGAATCCTTCAAACACACAGTAGCTAAGCATAAGAATCAGAATGAAGGTCTGAGTCTTCAGCAGAAAATAACCATAAAAATAAGAAATGAAAGATAAGAAGAGAGAAGAAGGAAGGCTGGTAGAAGAAGGAAGGATTAAAGAATAGCTATGTAGTTGCTGTAGATTTTCCGGGATGTGTGGCCGTGGTCTTGGCATTGTAGAACCTGACGTTTCGCCAGTAACTGTGACTGGCATCCTCTGAGGTATAAACACAGAAAGATGGAATACTCTCTGTGTCAAGCTATGTAATTTGGAAGAAAGACCGACATACAGGTAGAGTCTGGAAGAAAGGTACCTTTGCCAGTCACAGCGGAATAGAGAATTACAAGAGAGGCTGTTACACCTCCAGAAAAACAGCCATGCTGGGAAAAGAATCAAGAGGAGGCAAACTGGTACTCCCAAAAGAAAAAGGGGCTGTGATGGTCAAGTAACTGCTTCTGAAAGCAAGAATCAGTCGTTATGATTCTCCATCCAACGAACTGGTTTTTCGTAACAGTTTACAGGGAAGTCACAGAAATACTGACAAGGAACAGGTACTTACTTACTTTAGAACAGTGGTTCCCAAGGCGGGCAGTACTACCCCCTGGGAGTGGTGGGATTACCTAGGGAGTGCTAAGAGGCAAGGGGGCAGCAGGGGAGCACTGGAGGTGAGCCTATTCAACTGTGTTGTCCACTTATTAACAATTGACCGGGCAATGGCACCATACTGGCAAATGGCACTCCAAGTTTCTGCCTTTGGATAGTACTGAAATCTGGTGGAAACTATTGGAATTTTTAATAAATACGCCACTACAGCTTTAGTCAAACCAATATACTGTATTTTGAGAAACTGTGGTCACTCTTTGTAATTTTTTAGACTCTATGTAATTTTTTAAGTTTTTGCTATTAAGTCATGAGAGATGATCCCTCTCAGCAACAATTCAGTGCAAAGATGCACAGATTAAATGGCTGGCAATGTGGAAGATACATTGTGCAGCATACTAAGAACGACAGAATTTGCATTACAGCTTGGTGAGTCAATTTTGCCAGACAATGAATCTTTTCTTCTTGCTTATTTATGAGCTTTATAAAAGACAGAAGTTTGGCTCCAGAGTTGTTATATGCAAGACAACGAAGAACAGGTACTAAAGGTGAGTCAATATTTCATGTTGTTGAACAGTATTTCAAATACTATGAAACTCTGCTTACTAATATACTTGCTTGCGCAACTGACAGAGCCCCATCAATGACTGGTCGCTACTGTGGCTGTGTTGTTTGCTTGGAAAAAAAGCTTTGCCAAATGTCTTTACCATTTATTGTCTCATTCATCACCGACATCTGGTTGCAAAAAACTGCAGTGATCACCTACACAATGTCACTACTGCGGTGAATAAAATGAAAGCCCGTGGCAATAATGATTGAATATTCTGGGAGCTCTATGTTGAGAATGATGAAGATTTTGAATGTTTGCTGCTTCATACTGAAGTTCATTGGATATCAAAAAACAACTAAGTGCAATGCTTTTACAACCTTTTTGATACTGCTATAGACTTCTTTTGAAGACACTAATGCTTTGCTCAGTGATGAACTAAAAGAGAGCAGGCATTACACCGCTTATCAAAATTATTTGCAAAGCTCAATGAAGTGAATTTGCATTTGCAAGGAAATGAGGTCAATCTTATTAAGGCCAAATTTGTTGTCTTTACATTTACTTCAAAGTAAATTCTACTAAAATGCAATATAGGCCATCATGAACAATAACAATTTCCAAGCTTGTCAGAGCTAGAAGAGAAAGGTGGGATACTAGATGATAATCTGGCTAGTTTTTTGTGACCATTTGGATGTGCTGTGTGAAGATATGTCTGAGCGATTTGAAGATCTTCTTTGGATGGAAATTCCCACTTGGGTGATAAATCCATTTTCAGAAAATGAGGAAGTTGGGGTGGCAGAGGAAGAACTAACTAAGTGAAAAATGACACTGAGCTGAAGCCAAAGTTTAAGAAATTGTACCAAGAGAGTTTTGGTTACAGAAGGACATTTCTGATCGCTATCCTGCCCTAAAAAGGTCCTTATTGCATTTGATGGAACATAGTTTGAGAGTGGTCATCCAACATCTCCAAGCAAGGAAATCGACTCCAGATAAGTAAATGTGGTGATTTAAGAATCCTGCTAAGTCACTTTAACCCAAACAATGACACTGAGCTGAAGCCAAAGTTTAAGAAATTGTACCAAGAGAGTTTTGGTTACAGAAGGACATTTCTGATCGCTATCCTGCCTTAAAAAGGTCCTTATTGCATTTGATGGAACATAGTTTGAGAGTGGTCATCCAACTTATCTCCAAGCAAGGAAATTGACTCCAGATTACTAAATGTGGAGATTTAAGAATCCTGCTAGATCACTTTAACCCAAACATTACAAAACTGGTATCACTTCATCAAGCTCATCCATTGCATAGAGTAGTTACAGGAGAATGAAGCCTGTATCTAAAGTTCTTGCTAAATGACTAGCAGACTTTGAAAAGCTGGTATCCCTAGATCAAATTTATCAAGTTTATTAAACTAAAAAGTTTTAATTGTATTTTGAATAAATGTGCAATTAATTGTTACTGTTTTGAATGTTATCTTCCTTAATGGGTTGTGCAAAGCGCTATTCTGAATAATGCTTTTTATAGGGTAGGGTAGGGTAGACTAGGGATAAGTTTATGGAACCAAGGGGGCAGTGGCCCAAAAAAGATTGGGAACCACTGCTTTAGAACATTTATACCCCCATCTATTACCAAAGAGGTCACAGCAGCTAAGAGAACTGATCAATACAAAATTTCATAATCTATAAACTACTCCAAAAATATAAATAAGAACATTAAATCCACTAGGTACTATGTGAATCATCCCTGCAGGAATGAAAAAAGCGGTTAAAAATAGGAGCAGTTTAAAAAAGGAGCAAGACCAGAGAATATAGTGCCTCTTTGACAGTTCAATGGTTTTCTCAGTACAAGTAAAATATCATAAGAAAGCCTTATAGTGAACCATTTTGCAAAAAGCATAAACAGAAAGGCTCTGGCTGTTTGGCTTACTGGATCTGGTTTATGAGATAACAAGTGAGACCCGCAAGAAACTTGCGGGATGGTTATCCTATTCCTCACACCTTTGCTTCCTCCTGTCTCCCTCTACCTC